TAAATAAATAAATAAATAAATAAATAAATAAGATATCATCACCGTGGGGAGGGGGGTGATGATAACTTCCTCAATGGCTCAAGGGGGCATTTCTTTCAAAAAGGTTAAGAACCACTGCTGTGAACTGCATAGGGGCTTTTGATGGTCTAAAACACAGGATAAAAATGCATAAACAAACAACTTAGGTCAAGCCATATATCAAACACAAGCATCAATACATTTATTTTCTCCCTTAAAAGAGCAATGTTAAGGATTCACATTCCAAATTCAAGTGGAACTTGTAGTAAGGACATAAGAAGCTAGAAGTTTCCTATATTAACATACCTAAATAATTTTGGTTGTACCTTATTAGTGCTGCAATGTGTACTGCAGATGCTAAAAATGAAACAAATTTAGCTGCAAAGTATCCAAGGAGGGTAAATCATGATAACAATGTTTTAAAGATTTGTAATATCCCAGTCTTTAATACATACTGCAAAGCAAAACACAAAATCAGTAACTGTGTTTCTGAAACAGGGAGGCATTAAAAATCACATCTGAAATCAACATTTTACAGATTTCATTCTTCCATCTCTAACATAAAAAGTATGCTTTCTTTCTAAAAGTTTTAATTTCAAAGCAGTTTATATTTCTCCCCTTCTAAAACACAAACTGATGGGGGAAGGATGGGGGAATTTCTGATGAGAAAGAATGCCACACATCAATCAGCCTGTCTTATATTTCAACAGAAGCAACAACAGAAGCCTTGAATCTGCCAACTTAAATCCTGAATTGATCCTTAATGTTATTTCGTTACACAAACAAATCTGAAAACCAAGATTATACAACTGTAGAACATAATAAGAATTCCCTTTATTTGTGCAGCAGTATGTTTCTGTTTTAAAGAGGCGAAGTTGTAGTTACTGCTTTCGCTTTAAAAAAACAAAAAACAGCCAGTTTCCTGGAGCCCTAACACCAGTTCATGTTTTACAAAAGCCCCATATGGAAAACAGAAACATCTAGTGCCCTTTTAAACAGAGTGCATTCCCACCCTAAATAACTGTATGAAATTCACCAAGCCAGTGTTTTGCATTAACCAGTCTCCAGGTTTCAGAGCTTTCTAGGTGAAGAAAAAAAATCAAAGCCCTTTGCCAAATTACATACATTCTCACTTCTCAGCAATTTCTTTTTAGTACCAAAGCAAGGGACTCAATTAATGAAATATGTGAAAAGGGGATTCCACACTGCACTGAGAGAAAAGTGTGCTGTACATTTACATACAAATACTTCTTTTTTATAAAATATTCACACATATGATCACAGAGGAAAGATTGTTTTCAAGGAAACAACCTTGCTAGTCTGTTACAGCAAAAACAAAGAGTCCCCTGGCAACTTTAAGACTATTGAATATGACATAAACTTTCACAGATTGGAGGCTACGTCTTTATAAGTGCACCTAAAGTATTTGAAAGGATTTGATGCATTTGAAAAACTGGTGTCTACAATGTATGAAGCTGATGCCA